TGGAGGGAACGTGAGGGAAGTAGACTGAATTGCACGAACTATTTACATGGTTTATATATATAGAGGAGTAATCACCTTAAACTAGCTTGGATATTAACAGAAACTATGAACAGGTGCCATGGGAAACCAGGGGACTGAGAAATGTTCAGGCACATGGAACACAAGGAGGAATATGTGGGTGAGATGGATCAAGGCTCCAGGGGGTCCAGAGGGGAGAGATAGCCACAGTTGACATGAGAGGCAGGGCGAGGTGAATGGTGAGTCTGAAATCCTGAGTCTGCAGGTAGACCAGAGAACTGGGTGGAAATGAGACCAGCGCTGCTGATAAGCACAGCAGGAGATGGATCTGGAGAGAACGAACTGGTGGAGAGTGGCAGGCAGTGGTGGTTTAAGTGAACCCTTCATATGATGGCCCAGACAAAACTCCACCCCAGGGGACAGGCAACTGGAACTCGTCTCACACCCAACCAGACACTCCCACGACACATGACAGTTACTGTTTAATTTTTTTACCTTGTTACCTTGTTATATCGTGAATAAGGTTTACCTGCTGGAGGTTTGATGAATCAGTTGGACGATACAGTCAAAGACAGACTTTTCATTTGCAGGAATCCTAGTTTGATTTTTGTTCACATTCCTATTGCTGAATATGACTATGATAGACTGAACACCTGGCCAGGGTGTACACTACCTTTCACTCAAGGATGCCAGGACAGAGCTCAGTCCCACTATGACCCTGGGTGGATGCGTGATTATAAAATGAAAGGACTGATACTGATTATCAATATTACATCAAAATCAAATTATAATCCAAATTCCTAGGTGTTTGTTGTATTTGGCAAGAGTAATATGGATTACATATGTCTAAATTGCTAACCCTAGCACAACAAATAACAACGCCCCAGACAGTCAGTATTATTACATGCTGTGAACAGAAGTAGCTGTGATCACAGTTTCACTTATAAAAGAAAAAGAAAACACAAACAGGGAAAAAGCAAAATTTAAAAAAAAAATTAACTTTATGAGGTCATATCTTCCAAACTGACAAAAGAAATGATCGTTATACTCTCACAGCAAAGGATCAGGCTCACTATTTATAACATCGTGGGCCATTAATGTTTGTTAGATTGTGAGTTGTTTAGTATGCTTCTGTACAGGTAGGGTCACCATCATAATTATATTGAGTATAATTAATATGCAAAAAAACACATGAATTTGACAGCATTATTAATTGGATATTTTTCTTCCAGTTTTCTATCATAATTAGAAAACTTAGACTTTATAATTAAGTGAAAATCTCATATTGTGCCAGTACGATTCTTCATAGCTCCTGCTTTGAAGTACTGAACTTTAAAATTTACTCCATGAAAGATAATAATTCATAGTGCAAACTGTCTGAAGAATTCTGACTTTATTATCACTGTATTAATCTGAATCTTTCTCATATGTGCTGTGAATAAATGCAGCAGCAACTTACAATGGGAAAGCGTAATTAAAATGAAAACATCTGTGACACATGTGACACATTCTCACATTAAGAGGACACAAATGGAGGATGCACAGAGACTGTATTAAAGTCCCATTTCTGAATCTTTAGTCAAAAACAGGCAGTGGTTACAAACAGGAAGACAAGCAGTCCATTAAATACTCTACAGGGTCAAACATACATGCACACATAATTCAAACAGGAGTAAAAAAAACATAACTGGACACTGAAAAACTTAACAAAGTGATGTGGGAGGGGACAAAGGGAAGCAGCTCAATATATTCACTGAATTATCATCAATTACAAAAGAGAAAAACTGGTAAAGGCAGCATGCAAACTGAGCAGAATACAGAAAGATCAGAGATTATAAATAAATCAGGAAATGAATTCAAACTTACTGAGAGCAAGGCCTCTGTTACAAATCTGTCTCATTGAAAAATATGTTGTAAAGATACAATATGGTAAGTGTTCATGGTAATTCAAAAGCTGCCTGAACCACTTAAATATTTTATAAAGTCATTAATAATTAGAAAGCATCTAAACATTCTGGTCATGGATTTTACAGTCTTTCTTGCACTTGCCGTCATCTTAATAATCATCATGATCAATACATGACATGGCGAGGTCCTGGGGTAGGCGGAGCTTGCTCAGGTGATGTTGGCATAACAGGCAGGAATAGCATCTGGCACGCGTTGGTAAAAAATCCCAGTACACTGGTGTAGTTTCCTTTACAGCTGTTTGACATTAGACACTAAAAGTAAGGGGAACAGGAAGAAACAGTGTTAGGTCAGGTGACCCACATAGTTTCAAAAATAACTGACAGGAAGTAACCAGTTAATTAGAAATGGATGGCATGTGTTTCGAGTGACTGCGTTATAGTTACTGTTGTTAAGTTACTAAACTTACCAAAAGCAGAAGTACACAGATGAACAAGGATCAGCTGAATGTTACATCAACATGCTCCTGTTTGGTGGTCGCTGAATGCTGCTCTATTCTTTTGTTGCTTGTCCTTTATTGAAGCTGGCTGGTTGGGCAGTCCAATGGTGATATCCCACCTATCTGAGGAACAGTTTGAAAACGCACATGCTATGCTTTGTTTGTATTATGGTTAAAGTTGGATGTTAATTTGTGTCCTTTAAAAATTTTCCTGTATTTAAAAGTACTATAATTTAAGTGGTTCTGTAAGAGTATCTCCTGTGAAAGTGGAGACAAGTTTATCCACTGATCCGAATCAGTTTACCTGGATGTTTTCTTTGAAGCTGGATGATGACTCCCCTCTTCCTCACTCCAGTTCCAGTTTGCAGACCAGTTGGCCTCTGAGGTCACAGTGATCATCTGTAACAGGAGACTGAAGTTCAAATCAGTTTCTTCTGTCATTTTTCATCATGTTCAGAAAAACACTCCTAAAATAACGAAGCAAATAAATATTATTAAAGATTTACACACTTCATTAGACAACAGTGGAAACATCTCCCTTTAATTCCATTTATCATGGAAATGTCCCAGTAAATCACAGTAAAATGTAGAGAACATACTATGTACTAATGGTCTTACCTGTCAAGACTTCCGTATCCACTGGTTTCCAGCGAGCGTGGATTCTTCCCATCCTCCTGTTAGTGATCCTCCATCTGAATGGATGATAACAACCTTCTGAACAAACTAGCAGGTGGCCCCTACTGGGCCATATCTATAGGGCTGATTTCTGCTAATAATGCCCATTGTATGGACTGATAACATCCGAAAAATGGTGGTCCCTGCAATGTGGGGCCCAAATTGATCACCCACTGTGCCCTTGATACTGGCTTCAAATGTGGGGCAGGCATAATATACTTTGGGTACACTGTGGAACCCGCTTTGCTAAGCCCCTTTTTTATATTGTACCTACTCAGGTCAACTTGCCATGGATTGACACGACTTGTCCCAATCCATGGCATGCGTCTGTGCGTCATGCGAATTAATATGTGACACATGTTAACAGAAAAAAGGTGGACATTGAAGTGAATATATACCTGATGCTCAGTCTGTAGCTTTTCGCCACACCTGGGGGAACATGGTGTTATTTCAAGTAGCTATTTCTTGTGTTGTCGAGTTTCAAAAATGTCAGTTTTGATTTTTGACAATGAGTCGCTCTTATGACTCATCGAATGACTCTAGTGACCAGTCAATTGGTAGCATGCAGTCTGACGACTTACATCTTAGTACCTGTTTAGATTACTTGGAACCCAGATTCCAAGCAATTTAAACAGTTTCCCTGGTACCAGATTCTCTGGTACCTGGTACCAGGTACTATGACCTAATGGAAAACCCATTAGTCCCATTGGTCGATCCGAGTGGGTACTAATGAAAAACATTTGCTTTAGTATGAGATTTTTGTGGCCTATGTGTGTCTGCCCACGGTGCTACTGCACAGGTCCCAAAGGAGATGGGGGAGCAGTGTGCTGCTGGGGGAACCTGCTACCATTGGGGTAAGGCTGCAACAGTATTAATATGGGCAGTATGTGTGTTAGGTTTTCTATTGTTGATTGTCATTTATGCTTAGAAATATCTACTTATATATGCTTAGAGTTTTATAATTAGTTGTAGATTGGTAGAGGTTTGATCCTTGATAGTCTGCAAACTTTGTGTGCACTAGAGAGCACTCTGGGAGCATGGGAGAGGTCGTACCTTCTCTTATTGTTTTATGGTAGGATAAACGTAGCTATATCTGTTTTAGTCTAAGTGCCTTTTGTTAAGATGTACTGCCGGACTTCCAGACCAGCAGGTTTAGGGAAGTCTTTATGGGGTCACACTCTGACCACACACACACACACACACAC